AGTTGAAATTTAATAGGCAGGTCCATTGGAAATCTTTTCCTTATTACAAATGAAAAGGGATAGGTTAGGGTATACTTGTGGTTTCAGGCTGCAAATTGTTATTATTATTATTATTATTATTATTATTATTCAGGCAAACTGGTTTGAATCAGTTAGCTTCAAGAATCAATAGCCACCCCAGAAAGCTTTACTCAGATCAGTTAAGACCGATGCACCATTGCACCCATACAGGGGTTTTCACTCTCTTTCAGTACGTTTAGACTGAGGACCGAGTGTCATGCGTTACTACTCCAAGGAGACGAAGACAAGATTTTATAATTTTAATAATACATTAGCAGGAACTAAAGAATCAATTTATGTGTACAGCGCAAAAACTGTTAAAACACATAACAAAATAAGCAGTGAATCATTCTAATTGTTTGGTCATCATATTCACATTACTAATTATTTGATGTATTTTCCAAAGCATTATAGTGATCCACATGTTATATTGTTATAACAATAAGGATAAAGGTTTTTGTTTTAAAACATCACAGTAGAAGAGTTTGTGACTATTAATTCTAATCTAGTTATCAAAAATGTTTTGGGAAATTCCCAGCATAGAAATGTACAGTAGCTCCACCCTACTTAAGTCTGGGAAGAGATGAGCAAATCAATTAGGCAGAAACGTACTTGTAGTCGAAGCGCAGGTTGGGGAAGCGAGACATGAGACGCTCGTAGGTCTCTTTAAGATGAGTAACCTCTCTGGACAGCTGCCTTCTTTTGTCCAGCAGACTCTCCTCCTTCCCATCTGCAAATAGACGCATACAGACCCAGAACGGTATTACAAAATGTATAACATAGGGAATGGGAGTAGCATGAGTAGAAGAGGCTGTCAGCATCTGCTCACACACACACACACACACACACAGTACCTTCATAGTTGAGTTTTGCGAGCTCAGCCTGTAGTTTTTCCCTGCTGCTTCTGACAGCCTGCAGGGCGTCCTGATCTTTCTTGTAACCACTGTCCATCTTTTTCACCTCTGCCTGTTTGGTCTTCAGCTCAGCCTGGGCATGCTTCAGGGTCATCTGGGCCTGGACAGACAGGAGGACAGAGACAAGATAGATGAACAATCTTTGAAAGGACAGAAACAGTATTTATTTATTTTTTTAGACCTAAAAAAATAAAAAACCCAGAACATCACACCCCCGGCAGATATGTTAAAATCTCTTCCTCACCTGCTTGGCCTCAGTATCCGCCTTGCTCATGTCATTCTTGCAGGTCATCATCTGCCCAGCCAGTGTGGCCTCCTCTCCATCCTCATTAGTTGAAAGGCCCGCAGACACAGCCCTAAAATGCTGCTCAGCTGCCTCAAGGGCTGCGCTGTCCTGCTGTCCCTCCTCCTGCAGAGCCTGAAGCTGCTCTGTCAACTTAGAAACCTCCTTCTCTTTTACCACAAGCATTTTCTTGTCCTAAGGATGAAGGAAGTCAACAGGTTCGATCAAATGGCCCCGTATGTGAATTTGATTTGTTAAAGGTTTAGCAACATGTATTGTCTTGTTACCTCTTCCATACTCTTCACAAGCTCCTTCCTCTTCTTGGTTTCATCTTTGACATTCTGTTTTTTCAGGTCAAATGCACTCTGAGCTTTGGCGTCCACACGTTGCACATCAGCGAGAGCCTCCTCCAGGGATTTTAATACTCCATTCACCTCCTACAGATGAGATAACATAACAAAAGCAATGTTTTGATATTTCTTTTCCTTGATTTAGTTTGATAAAACCATACAAGACATTGAACTCTGATGGGCTTCAGACAATTTTAAACACGTCTTTTGAAGCCAAGTGGACCATCATAAAGTTACAAATAGATCAAATCATTCTCAAATAGCAGCCATGGATCTTTTCCAAGAAAATTTGTTCAAAAAGGCAAATAAAAATGCAAACTGCAAACATAGGAGCTCATAAACTGAATAAAAGGGGGCTCCACTAAAGTTAAAAAAAAGAACAATCTTATCTCTCCCCCGTCTTCCAGCGTACCTGGTCTTTTTTCTTCTGCAGCTCCTGAATTTGGGCCGAGAGCTCCTGGACTTTGCTCTCGTTCTCGGCCATGCTAGCTTGCATCTTGGCGATGTTATCCTGCATCACCTTCAGGTTCTCTGCAGATTTCACCTTGGTTTCCTCCGCACACACAAACAGCCAGGCCACATACAGCCGGGACAAATGCTGGATTTCACGCATGAGCTTCTGGTACTCCAAGTATGATGATCGTTCCTGGAGAGGGAGAAAGATTTACGGTAAAAAGCAAGATAATGACAAAAAAAATAAAAATACATAATAGAAATGTATCATTCTTGCTGTCACATTTCAGCCACAGCAGGAAATTTGTAGGTTTTGATTTTGCAGTGAACCTACCTCTTGCAGTTTATGCATGGTTGGAGTGATCTCCTCATCCAAAATCTTAAAAAGTAAACAAAGAGAAACAGTTCAAACATTTTAAAAACAGTTGCAGTTATTTACAGCACCTCCCCACAACACAATGAATAGAAAAAAATAGTTTAGGTGTCTAACTTACTGTCTGAATCTCCTTCAGCTTGGCCTCCTTCTTCTCTATGGTTTTCTGAGCGCTGATCTTCTTACATTCATACATCCTGGTTCCTGCTGCCTCCTCAATCATGGCCAGGATCTGAAAGAAAAGAGGTGTTCATTGGAAGACCTGAGAAAGGCAGGAACATGTGAAGGAAAAGGTACTGAAGGTGAGTTGGTGGACAGTGTGTCTATGTTTTACCTCTGGTGGCTTCATGTTCAAAACTTTGGTGATCCTCCCCTAAAATAACAGAAACATCACATCATATAAAATACTGTAGAGGGCAAACACCTACACACACACACACCACACACACACACACACACACACCACACACACAACAAACACACACACACACACACTGCTGCAGACACAAGACTGACCTGCATGATGAGAAAATGTGGGTTGTTGACATTCAGGCCAATGGAGCAGAACAAGTCCTGCACCCTGGTGTTGTTGGCATTGACTCCATTGATGAGGTACTTGTTCCTGCCACCAATTACCACCTTAAGAAGAAGAAAGAAAAGCATATATAACCCAGTTTTAGTACAAGCATTGGTTGCACACAACAGCCTCGTACGCCAGGTATAGAGCCTTCAAATATCCAACCTGTCTGGTGACGGTGATCTCATCGTGGGTCTCAAAACCCAGAGGACTCTGGCTTTTGTTGGAGTTGTCAAAGGTAATGGACACAGTGGCCTTGGTGATACCACCCTGTCCATTTTTGTAAACCAAGTCCTGGAGGTTGGAGGCTCGCACCTTGCAAGTGAAAATGAAA